GTGTTGAAAAATTAATCCGTTTCTTCGTATCAACTGTTGTTTCATATGTTTTCTAAGTTTCTGCTGATGATGCATACTAGAGTTTGGATGCCTTATGAGGAATTTTGGGACATGAATTGAACCTTAGGAATTGTATTAAATATCACAGAACCTTCTGTAACAGTGTCGGAAGTGAAGAAGACAAACCAGAAGAGGAAACGGAGGAAGCAGCTCTCTGTAAGAGAGAGAGCTGGCTCCATAGATTGAGGGAGTCGGCTCCCTAGACCACAAAGCCTGCTCCCAAGGTGTGGGAGCTGGCTCCCAATGGTTGAGAGCATGCTCTCATGCCAAACTTGCTACAGGACGTGTTTTAAGGGTCTGTTTTGGGTTTTTTAAGTTCCTGGACTGTTTTGGGTGATTTGTAGGGACTCTAAACATTATCTTATACTGTATTAGAACCCACATTGCATAATTAAAGTCTTTATTCTAACGAATTTAATAGTAGGCAAATTTAAAAAATCTTGCGTACTGTTAACGGATAGAAATGATTAAATTGTGTATTTTTGTTTTAACAATTTAATGGACTGTAGCATAGACTCTAAACATGCTATTAGGCTGTATTAGAACTCACACGGCAGAATTAATATTCTTAATGCTAACGGATTTAACAGTAGGAAAGTTTAAAAAAATCTTGCGCACTGTTAACGGATAGAAATGATTAAATTGTGTATTTTTGTTTTAACAATTTAATGGACTCTAGCATGGACTCTAAATATGCTATTAGGCTGTGTTAGAACCCACATTGCATAATTAATGTCTTTATGCTAATGGATTTAATAGTAGTGAAGTTTAAATAATCTTGCATACTGTTAACGGATAAAGAGGGTTTATTTGCTTAAATTGTGTCTAGCAATTTAACGGACTGTGATATGGTTTATAAACCTTGTTTTGGATGCATAATAGGGTCATTTAATTGTCAGACTTGTTTATGCTTACTCTGAATTTTAATTGCTGAAATATTAAACTCTATTCTGCAATTATATGGACTTATGTTTTGAATTTTAATTACTGAAATATTAACCCTATTCCGTAATTACATGGATTACTATAATTGCTGGACTATTTGATAAAATAATTGACAGACATAGTTTAATAGTCCAGCAATTAAAGTCCAGTGAGAGTCCTGTAGTGTGGATATGTATATATATTTATGGACTATATAGATATTGTTGAGATATCTAGGATGTACCTGCGTATCGGGTCTCTGTTTGGATTGTAGTTAGAATAGAACTTGTTTGTGGGCCTGACCCACTATTATTTTTTCAGGTATCGGACGGTTCCAGTCTTAGAGCTTGCTTGTGTTGAGCAGAGACGGTCACTCATTCTTTCAACTGCGTAGGACTGCTATGTATATTTAGTTCTGGTTTTCCTTTTTAGTTTAGTGTATCTTCAGTTGGGTTTTGAATAGGGGTCCATTAATAGGATTCCCGAGTTGTATATGTATTGAATTTGGATGTATCAGAATAGTTGTTTTATATAAAAAGTATTATGAGATTTTCATTTCTGGATTATCATTTTAGTTTTCTTTTAGCAATTTTTATTCCTATTTATCATAATTGAATTCTGTGTTCGTTTATTGCCATTTGTTTTTTATATCCCCGAGTGTTCGGGGCGTGGGCCTGGCCAACCCGCATCCAGAAATCCGGGGTTATCACAACAGTGTGCTTAAAAATTAGTTGTTCTATAACTTACTAGTGATAAAATTATTTTGATGCTTGTTACCCTTTATTTTGATGCTATTTTCATGTTAGTGTCTTTATATTTAAAGAAAACGAAAAAACTTTCATCTTTTTTTCTATTAATTGGTCAAGCCCGAGGAAGGGAACAAAAATAACATCAAAATAAAACATCATGTAGCCACACTAGATGAACTCATCTTCTAGAATTATTGAAATTTTAAGGAATGGTTGATAAAGATATGTGAATATCTGTAAGGAATAATAGATACTGAAATTATTCTCGTTGCTCATGTTGCTATACTATTAAAATGATAGATTTTATAAAAAGAATGGAGTGCAAGGCAGCTCATAGTATTAATTCCTTAAAGAAGATAGTGTAAACATTCTCCTCAGAAGTTGTGAATATTGACTATAGGGTTTGGTGTACTTTTGTATAGTTTGTTAACTAAACATGAATTAAATTAAACCTGAATGTATGGTTTGTGTTTATCAAATCTCTCTCTTTTTCTTATCAGCCTCCTTTTTTTTTTTTTTCCCTGCCTAATCTCTATTTTATATTGCATTTTGTAGGCAGTGGTGTTGCTGGCATTATACTTGTTGAACAAGAAGAGAAGTAGTTACAATAAAAAAACGTGATGGTGTGATTCCATTGCCCTCCCTTTCAGCGTTGTTACATGGTGGTATAACAAGGAGGACGCTGAACTTGTGGTCCTCTTCTTGGGTGATACTTCGAAAGCCCACAAAGCTGGTTCGTTCACAAACTTTTTTATTGATGGCCAGGGATCAAATGGCATCTTCACTGGCTTTTCTACTGAGTTTGTGGGCAGAGCATGGACTTCAAAGAAAATTTTGTGAAACCCTTGGAAAGTAATCAGACATGGCCTTCCTGGCTTTTAATTGCAATCAACTCTGATTGTATGGATTCTATTTTTAAATAATAATTCAAAGGAATTGTTTTATTTAAACTCGTTATATTATATTTGTGCCTTTTTTTTTTTTTTTAATTTAAGAATATTTAAGAGTAATGCACATTCAATACTTATAATAAATTTAAGAAATAAATAAAAGAGTGATGTGCAATATTCTTTAGTTTTAAGAACACTATTTTCATTAAATACAACCAATCAGATTTATGAGTTTTTGGTTTTAGAAAACTATTTTGTAATTTTCATAGTCAAGTAAAGTTTCGAAATAAAAAAACTGAAAACTGGTTTCAGTTCTGATTCTTTGAAAACATTTTTGAAAACAGTTTTGGAAAATCTAAACCAAGCAAGGCCTCACTTTTTGACGAAAAAAGTGATTTTACTATTATACCATTGAATTTATTTAACTCCCAAGCTTATGTAAGTACAGGTAAAACTTGAAAGGGCAATATTACCCTTGATTTTATTTTTTATTGGATTTCCGATTTATTCTTTACCCTCTCTATGTGCAGACTCATTTTCACTAAGAAGCCAATATCCAAGACCAGTATTGGCGAAGCGAAGGACGACCGGACATGTGGTGTTACCTGTGGGGTGTCTGGTGACCCACACCCGTACTCAGTAACTGGCGCATCTAAAGGAAGCCGCCGGCGACAGCACCGGCGATGATGGGATTCTAGGGGTCTTTCTGGTGGACATACACCATGGTGCAGTCGAAGGTGTCGATGAAGCGCGTGCATGGGCGCTGGAGATCGAGGTGGACCGGACCTGTTGGTGTTAAGAATGAGAGCTTTGCCGTCAGAGTTTGGTCGGAAGACCGGAAATGAAGACGGCACGATGGCCTCGAGGAGGACTCGCGGGAGTGGCAGCCAACGGAGGAGTGGGAGGTGCAGATGAATGGGGACGCATCGAATGAGTTGTTGTCGTCGGCGGTCACGGTTGCGTTGTCTTTGGTGGGAATCAGTTGCGTTCCAATCGGGAATCGGTTACGTTACAATTGGGAATCATTTAAAAATTATAGGGTAATTTAGGCATTTTATTTTATCAATTTAGCTGACTTTTGACCTGGCTAGAATGAGGTGTTAGGGTGAACTAAACCAAACTTGAGCGAAGTGTTAAAACAATTTTTGCTCAAGTTTTATCTAAGATTAATAAACCCAATTCTAGGAGGGTGCCGGATAGACTTGTAAATGGGTCGGATTTCGATCCGAATTCGATAAGGCTATACTCGATCAGATAATCTTATGAATTTTTTGTGAATAAATTTATATCTGATTTGTTAATAAACGAATATTCGATCTAATAACTCGGTTCGATTCGATAAGAGTGTGTACTTCTTTATTTCTTTTTATTTTTGAAAAAAAAATTTAAAGTCAAAAGAGAATAAAAACAATAAAAAGGAAAGATAAAAATTAGATATTTTACACTTTGTTAAAGAATAAAAAATTGGGAATAAGAAAAATATATATATATATAGAGTGACGAAGGAGAGGAGTAAAAAATAATAAGAATACGACTTAAAATCACAAAATCCCTCTCTACTTTTAAAATCGTGTATAAAATCCCAATAGAATTAAAAAAAATCTGAGCTAACAAAGTTTATAAAGTTACCCCAAAATCATGACCGACCAGTTATATGGTTTGTGAAATGTCAAATTTAATCTTTCTATTTAATGTCAAATTAAAAGTTATAATTATTATTTTAAAATTAAAAAATGCATCTTTATAATAATATTATTTAATGTTAGATGAGTTATAATCTTACTAACCATCCATGATCTATTTCTTGCCCCAATATTATTTTTGTAATTTTAAAATAATAATTTAAAATTTTAATTAGATAATTTTAATTTTTAATTCAAAAAAAGAAAAAATGAATAGAAAGGTGTTGTCATGAGAGAAAGAATCATGTACACAGAATAAGTTAGGAATGTTTGGTTCATTTTTTAAAAATTTATTAAAATAAAAAAATTATTTTCAAAGAACTAAATATAAAAGAAAAATAAACATTTTGCAAGTGTGTTACTGTATTATTGTGATAGACAAAACCAACCTAGTTAAGAACGGCTTCCACTTTAATAAATGTCAGGCGGTCACAATATTTCAGTATTTCTATACGCTAGCTTTATTATTTTGAAAATGATTTTTTATTTTTTAAATTGAGTTTTCAAAATAATCATAAAAAATTGTCAATCAAATAATTTTTTATACTTATTTAAAAATAAAATATTATTTTATTTTGTGAGAAAAACATTTTTCTGCCCTTTTGTAATATATATATTTATACACAATAAAGACTGTCTAGTAAATTATGACTCTCTAGGTGGTCAATTAGAACGGGACCGAGTATAATTTTACATATGTATCATTCCCCACCACATTCTATACCTCTCTCTCCTCGACGGAAAAGCACCGTCCTTTTTCTTCTCTCCAAAACTCCCAAACAAAAAAAATGCAGTAACTGCCCTCATCGATCGTGTTACAGGTCTTCTGCTCCTGTACGGACACTGCGTCATCGCGTACATTCAGTTCATCGTCAGCTAGGATTCCTAGTTTCAGCGTTGAATCACATCACACAGTCTTTCACATTCAAAGTAACCACTGGCAAGGTTAATCTTCGTTTTGAATCATCATCTACAAATCTCTGATCTGATCAAGTATACTCACAATAATATCAAATCTCATTCAATTAATTCATTACTTTTTCATTACACGTGTGATTATTTGTACTTCCATTTTCAATTGATCACTGTATCTCTTGTTTCTAACCGAGTGCCTATTTGTGCCAAATTTCCAAGATTATACTTTTATTTATTTATTTTTGATAATTCAAGATTATACTTTCTTGTTCTCATTGTTGTGGTGGTGTATTGATGTTATTTTTTATGCTGCAAATTGACTCTCAGATAGTTTATGGCGTCCTCCAGCAAGATGCAATGCACTGTGGAAGACGAAAATGAGGAAGAGGAGGTTTTTTTTTTGACACCCATATTCATAAGTTATTTGAATTTTTTTGCTTAGACGAGTTGACTCCGTATTAATGATTTATCACTAATTTATGGAGCTCCTATATTGGCTCTTTGTATATTTATAATTAAAAAATTCAGGATATTGTAAGTTGGTGTATGTTAGGAGGTTTAAAATATTAAAATGTTATCTTTTGGGTTTAGTGAGAAAGTAGTATAAGTATATGACATTGTATCACTGCCAAAGACTTTGAAGTGCAGTGATTAAGTGCTAGCAATGGCATCTAAAAGGGAGGAATGTGATTTGATTTTTACGGCACAAAAAGAGAAACAATCCGTAGCGAAGAAATAGTTCAACTCATCTGTTGGGTGAAATTGTGGGGAAATAGGATAACTTGCTAGAAAGCACCTTGCAAGCCTGCATAAATGCTTTGCCTTTTTTTTTTTTCCAAGTTAGAAAAAATTGAACTGTCAACTGTCTAAATAGCGGCTTTGAGTTGTCTTTTCTCTCATCAATATTTTCCTTTTTCAGTTACTTCACTGCATTAGGCGAGTCAATTTAATTTTTATATTAGCAGTGTGTTTACTTTGCAATTTCTTAAAGAAGACAATCAGGTGGTAACTAGGGGAAGAAAATTAGTTTTGGCCATCTTTTCTTTTTGAGAAGTTCAAATAATTTTACACATTGATTTGCTGTTCCTTTTACAGAAAGCATTTTGATTGAAACTAAAGGATGTATTACTTCGATATATTTTCCCTTGTAAAATTATTACTTCACATAATCAAATGTAGATTTTACATTTTGAAGGAAAACATCACATCCCAAATTATTATCAATTTATTGCAGCTAACGACAGTCTGAATCCTTAATTTTTTTTGTATGGTGCAGTTTGAACACTTTGATGATTTCACTCTTGCCTCTTCATGGGAGAGGTATACTGAAATACCCAGTAATAACTTTATATACGAATGATCCATTTCTCCATCACACTAATTTTATATTTTGTAGGTTCATATCTGAAATAGAGGCGGTTTGTCGGCAATGGTTGGCTGATGGTCCAAAGAATTTGTTGGTATGCTTCGTTGGACTACTCGTGTTTAATCTGTTTTCAGTGCTGTCTGAATATTAATACACGAATGAGAACAATTTGATTCTTACAGACATGGATATTGTTTCAGTTTATATTGAATTGACAATGTTGTTTGATTTGGCATTGGCAATTTGTTCAGTCATTGAAATCTGAATAAATTTGTGCATCGAATGGTCTAAAGTTTTTAAGTCATCCTTTGCAATGTATAACATTTCTGGACGTGTATAACATTAATCTGCTAATTTCAGAATGCAATCTTCGCATTAAAATAAATCTGCTAATTTCAGGTTGATGATAATTAATAATTTTGGCATATTGGAATTCTGAATGTGTATAACATTTCAAAGATGAATTGAACAGTAAGGTGGTTGATAATGAATTGCATATCTTGGTCAAATGTGCCACTTCTTATAGAATATTTAAGAACCAAATCTGCAATTTCACGATAGGAACCATTGCATTCTTCTGCTTATAATAGGCATATAGGGGTTGAAACATTTCTTAAACCTCGTATTGAACTAAAATTTAAATATCATAGTTTGTTTTATGGAATCTTCTACAATGATACAACTCCAAGCAGTTGCTTAAATTTTATCTATATTTAGAGTCCTATTATTCTCCATTTTATACAATACATTTCAATCCAATCCCAATTCAGGCTGCCAAGGTTGATATTTCACCTCCTATCAGATGGTGAATTATTGGACTTATGTATTGACTTCTATTTTTTATTTTTTAAATGAGTCATTGACTTCTTTTTCACACACATGCTTTCTTAAATTGTCAGGCCAGGCAAAACATGCTGTACAGATTTTTCAATACCATAATTCCATCACTGCTTTAAACTGCAAGAGATCAAATTTGGATAGATCACATAAATTTTGCTTATATGCTTCATTATCATTAAAATCTTTCATTCTTTTTTATCTTTTTCTTTTGAGTTTCTATTTCTGAATTAGTGATCACTTATATGATTCTTCTTATGCTATAGTTACTTAAAAATGTCAAATTTTATGTGAACTATAACTTTAAAGAATTTACAAGGTATTAGATTCACAGTCATGTTTGACACATTGCTTTGTTACCTGGTAATTGAGTTGGCTTCGCTGTGGACTACCATCTGTGGAGTTTATTTTGTTAACATGCAAGCAGAGACCCACTTCTTTGATTTCCAGTATAAATTTTCTTGTATCATTTTGTTGTAGCAAAAAGGTGCTGTTCATTTGGGTTCTTCAAAGAACTTATATAAGGTCAAATCTGAGTTGAAGTATTTCACGAAAAGCTATTGCATGGAGTACTACTTTGGAACCGCCATTGATGGTACAAAAGGAATTCTGTTATAATTGTCCGCTTTATTATTAGAGACTTTTCTACTTTTTCTATCTTAACTGGTGTTGTGGCTGGCACAGGAAAAATTTTAGACTGGGATTTCACTTTGCACGATCTGCAGTTGTCTTTTGGGGTGAAGGAGTTTCTGGTATTTTTCAGCTCAGTATCTTGCGCTTCAAACATACTATTCTGTACTTTCACCTTCTCACACTTCTTTTGTATGCATCACCAGGTGATTGCACCTCAGAGCGCTAGTGGTGTCATTCTTGATGCGCCGGAGGCTAGCAAGCTATTAAGTGCAGTTGCTATTGCGTTGTCAAATTGTTCAAGGTGGGGCTGTTAGTGAATCATAAAATTATAACCCCTTTGTGATTTTTATATTAATATAAAACAAGCATTTGTCAAATGTTCGTATATTACTATATTGGAACCGTTGTTAATGAACGGTTTCCATGCTTGATATGTTTCTTCTTCATTTTTTTTTTCTTTCTCAAATTTAGTTCTATTTGTTCTCCTTTCAAATGAGAATTAAGTTATCTTAAACTGAAGTGATCTCTGATACACTTGTATGATGCAGTTTATGGCCTGCATTCGTTCCAGTGCATGATCCTTCCCGGAAAGCATATATTGGTATCCAGAATATGGGAACAGTTTTTACCAGAAGATTTGAGGCAGATCGTATTGGCAGCCAGGTTCCATTGAAACTCATGCATTTGGAGGGGTTATACGAGTTATTTGTTTCTAAGTTTGTAAGTTCCTTCCATAGTTTATTCTTACAAAGATATCTTTGGAAATTCTCTAGGCCTATATGTGTTGAGTTTGCAAATTTGGTAGTTTATCGCATTTTTCTTATACTTTTAAGCTTAATCGGATATACCGTGCTGGACTTTTTTTCATGATCCTCCTTTTATTGTAGACTTCTTGTATTAGTTCTTTCTCTTTGCAATTGATTAGCCAGAAAGTTCCAAATGAGCCAACATTCGCAATTTTTTACTTCTATCTCATATCTATTAACTGTATAAATGATGGAATTGACATCTTTGCCCTCAAGAGGCATGATCTATTTTTTCATTAGCCTGAAATTTCTCTCTGATCTTTCTCATCCCTGTTGACTTATTCTCTTCACTGTTTTTTTTTTTCATTTGAACATATAGGCATGCCTCTGTACCAAGCATAATCTTTTATGCTTAAGTTTGTGTAGGAATATCTGTGTAAAATTACACCATTTTTTGCTTTTGGGTTGTCTTTCAGAAATTGCATGGGTATGCTTTTCCAGCATTTTGGTTACCTTAATTTCTCATCCTTACTAGTGAAGGTTTACGCTTTTAATTTATATTTTTTTGAACTTGTGTTGAAGGCCTTTTCCACATTGGACTTCTCAATGGATTTTTTCAAAGTCCATTTTGCGATGAAGCTAACCTACAGAACTCTTCCCTATGACGATGACGATGATGGTGATGGTGAAATACAAGGAGCTGATGTTGAAGTTTCTGAATCTAGTGGAATTCCTGGAGGTGACACCCACCACAAAACACAATGGGATGATGACTGTCCTTGGAGTGAATGGTATTCTGCTGAGGACCCTGTGAAAGGTGAACTTGTTTTGAGAATATTCTCATGGTACTCATGGTACTTCCATTGTTAAATAGGGCATTTGTTAGTTTCCAGGGTTTGGTTATGTCTTGCGTTACAACTGAGATTTTTCCTGTAAAAGAACAAGCATATTTTGACCTAACATCTGCATGCTAGGTGTGCATTTACTAATTATGCCCTTGTTTCTTTTGTTTTGTTAACCTGGTTATTTTAGAGTTTGTGAATTGGACTTGCATTTTTAAAGGTTTTATCTTGCTTCAAGGTTCTAATGGTGGAAGATAATTTACTCCTCGTATTCGTTGAATTAAATGCATGCAGGATTTGAGTTGATTGCCATATGGTCAGAGAAGACAGTTGAAAACTCTTTGGAAATGGCTGAATTGGAGAACGCGTCACCTCATGAAGCTGATAAGTGGTTCATATTTTTGAACTCATCTCCAAATCTGTAAGGATTTCTTTCTTTTTTATACTCATAAATTTTATGATTCAAATGGTATGCATAATTGTCGATATGCTTTTAAGGTGCTTCCATTTTTTGTTTTCTATTGATTTGAATGAACAAGTACACATGGAAGGCCCAAATAGTGAAACAGAAACAAATAGTGAAACTTTCTGATGGAAAAACACAATGGGTGAACCACCTTTGACACATGTTAAAAGGTACCTCCACTAGACTTGCCTCCTTGCCAAATAACTAAGTTACCTTGCTCATGAAATAAATTACCAAGGCTTACCATGAAATTTTAAGGTACGTGAGATAATGAGAGAATTGGTTGGTTGGGCATGAACAGGACAGGCATCATCTTTCTCCATCTCTTTCTCTTCCCATTTTCCTCAAATACTGACGTAAGCAGAAGCTATGCTTGTTGACAAGGAACGATAAATTACTTTGAATCCACAAAGCAAGTGATAAGTTCAAAGAAAATCTGATATTGTATTGAATAATTGAATGAATAAAATTAATTATGCTCTTTGCATCACACATGTTTATAATAAAAGAAAACCCAACGCTAGAAGAAAACTAAAAGCATAAAGAAACCTAATAGCATAAGGAAAATAATTTCTCAAAGAAATTAAATAAAACTAAACTTCCTATAAAAAATATAAAAATAAAATAAATAAGAAATCTAAATAATAAAAATTACTAAGTATGAGAAAACTGTCCTACATCAGTCCCCTCCACTTAAAAAAAAAAAACTTGTCCTCGAGTTTCACTACGGATCATATATGAGTATGACCAAATTACTAAGTTATTTGCTTCCTTGCCAAATAACTAAGTTACCTTGCTCATGAAATAAATTACGGGCTTACCATGAAATTTAAAGGTACGTGAGATAATGAGAGAATTGGTTGGTTGGGCATGAATTGGACAGGCATCATCTTTCTCCATCTCTTTCTCTTCCCATTCTCCTCAAATACTGACGTAAGCGGAAGCTATGTTTGTTCACAAGGAACGATAAACTACTTTGAATCCACAAAGCAAGTGATAAGTTCAGAGAAAATCTGATATTGTATTGAATAATTGAATGAATAAAATTAATTATGCTCTTTGCATCACACATATTTATAATAAAAGAAAACCTAACACTAGAAGAAAACTAAAAACATAAAGAAACCTAATAGCAAAAGGAAAATAATTTCTCAAAGAAATTAAATAAAACTAAACCTCCTATAAAAAATATAAAAATAAAATAAATAAGAAATCTAAATAATAAAAATTACTAAGTATGAGAAAACTGTCCTACATCAGTCCCCTCCACTTAAAAAAAAAAAACTCATCCTCGAGTTTCACTACGGATCATATATGAGTATGAACAAAATTCGATATCATTGATGAATTGACCTTAGTGCTTCATAAACTTACTTTTTAGTGGTCCAATCCCGAACAAACACCGATAGATTTCCATTCTCTCTTGGCAATTCAAAAGGAAAGAAACTCTGTGAGTGATAACTCTCAATCTCACCGATCTCACGAGGAAAGAGAGAAATTAACTCTTTCAAGTCTAATTGATTAGACTTCAAATTCAGCAAAATCGTCTTAGAATGGGAATGATTGTGAGGCAGAATTACTTGTGTTGGGTAATTGGCACGTTTACTGTAAAGCCCAGGCTTGTGAAAACTATGACCACTTGAAGAGTTTTCAAAAAGTTGGAATTGAATTACTTTGGATGGATACTGAAATTCAAGTAGGACAGAACCTATTAGGCAATTGGTGGGTTGGTCAAGGCTGGTCATGTTTTCCAAGCCAATATACCTTTCATGATCATCTTTCTGTTCTCTAACCTTATGCATACCATTAGCTGAAATAGTGTCCAATTGTGTAATTTATTCATGTGTAATTACCACCACTGGTCTGCTCTTCAAGTCGGCTATGACATGATTAACCGCCACATCAATTCCACGTTGCAAATCCACCATGTCTACACCAGCAGCTACTGACACCAACTTGCTTTACAGGATTAGCACAAACATGTGTAGCTTTTCCTTTTTCAGGTTGTTCAAAAGCAGCAACTTCATTCTTTTTATTAATTTCTTTCTCTTCAAGGTAATTTTTTTTCAGATTCCGATTCTTGGACACAAATTTTTTCTTGTGTAAACTTGTCCATTGGAGGAGGAGTTCGAGGCTTCGAAGGCAACGATAAATCAGTATAGGCCTTGGTACACCTCGGCCTATACGATTGAAATTGGATCTCCTCGTACTCCTCACAGTAAGGTGAAAGAAACTTGGCTTTCAAAAAACGTTTCATCTTCAACCAAGTTCGTACCAGTGCCTTCCTTTGTCGTGCACGAGTAACCCGCAATTGATCCCACTAAACAGAAGTTCTTCCCTTCAATTTGTATGCGACGAGTGCCACCTTCTTATCCTCTGGAATCCCCATGTAATCAAAGAACCTTTCAAAATCTTCCAACCAGTCTGGAAAATCTTCAACATGAAAGAGACCATCAAAACTAGGAGGAAAATTCCTAGAATCATAATCCCCATCATCACGATATTTTCGTGCGTCTTTGTGACCCCCAAACATCTTTTCCACACAGGCTAACTGATATGACGAACACGATCTACGTCGTCATTGCGCAACCTGTTGTTATTGCGGTTCTGCTCCAAACCCAACTTAAGCCTAGCAAGCGTTGCTTGAATATCTTACAGTGTTTGCAGGGTTTCACGTTGACAGTCTTGAAATTTGGCCCTAAAAAGAGCTACTCCCTGTCAATCTTCGTCGCCAGCGAGGTTGCCACGGAAACGATCAATTGCCATCAAACTAGGACAAGACCGGCTCTGATACCAATTGACGTAAGCGGAAGCTATGTTTGTTCACAAGGAACGATAAACTACTTTGAATCCACAAAGTAACAACTTTGAATCTGCAAAGCAAGTGATAAGTTCAGAGAAAATCTAATATTATATTGAATAATTGAATGAATAAAATTAATTCTGCCCTTTGCATCACACATATTTATAATAAAAGGAAACCTAACACTAGAAGAAAACTAAAAACATAAAGAAACCTAATAACAAAAGGAAAATAATTCCTCAAAGGAATTAAATAAAACTAAACTTCCTATAAAAAATATAAAAATAAAATAAATAAGAAATCTAAATAATAAAAATTACTGTGCTGGAGAGAGATGGGTTAGAGCTTCATTTTACTGAAGAAGAAGTTCTTAAGGCCTTATCCAGTTGTAATGGGGATAAAGCCCCCGGGCCAGATGGGTTCACTATGCGCTTTTTGATGGAAAGTTGGGCGGTTGTGAGATATGAAGTGATGAGTACCTTTCAGGAGTTTCATTCTACTGGTGTTTTTGAAAAATCGCTCAATGCATCATTTATTGCCCTTATCCTAAGAAGGGAAACGCTTTAGATATTAAGGACTTTCGTCTTATTAGCTTAGTGGGTTGTATTTACAAACTCATAGCTAAGGTGCTTGCTCATAGAATGAGAGAAGTTATGGATGGGATTATTTCAGATTCCCAGAATGCCTTTGTAGGAGGACGGCAAATTCTTGATTCAGTTCTTATTGCTCCTGGAGTTCTATGCAAACTTGATTTTGAGAAAGCTTATGATCATGTTAACTGGAATTTTTTTCTCTACTTGCTTAAAAGAATGGGGTTTGGAAGTAGATGGAGGACATTGATTGAGACATGTCTTTTGTCTGTCAAGTTCTCAATTCTTGTGAATGGTTCTGCAGTTGGTTTTTTCGGGTGCTCTCGGGGTATAAGACAAGGTGACCCATTGTCATCTTTTCGTTTTCTTATTGTTATGGAGGGCAATCTTATTCCGGGTGGGAAGAGATATTGACAATCAGGTGGAGATTTCACGTCTATTATTTGCAGATGACACTCTGGTTTTCTGTGATGCAGATGTGTCCCAACTTAGATATTTGAGATGCATTCTGGCTTGCTTTCAGGCAGTTTCCGGGTTAAAGGTGAATGTGGCCAAGAGTGTGCTTGTCCCGGTCGGGAATGTACAGGACATCTCTTCTTTAGCTGCAGTTCTTAGGTGCAAGGTGAGCTCCTTTCCTATCCCTTATTTGGGATTGCCCCTAGGGGTTTCTTCCAGGTTAGTGGGGAGTTGGGATTCTGTGCTTGATAGGTATGCAAAGAGGTTGACAGGTTGGAAGAAGCAATATTTATCTAAGGGGGATAAAGTAACTCTTATCAAGAGCACTTTATCAAGCCTTCCCACTTATTTTCTTTCTTTGTTCCAAATTCCATGCTCCGTTGCTGATAGAATTGAATAAATTCAAAGGAATTTCCTTTGGGGAGGAAGGGGAGATGAGTTCAAGTATCATCTTGTTAGATGGGAGCAAGTATGCAAGCCTATAAAATTGGGGGGTCTCGGTATTAGACGATTGATTTCTTTTAATCAAGCTTTTCTGGGCAAGTGGTTGTGGAGATACGGGAAGGAAAGACATCGTCCTTGGCGCAGATTAGTATCTTGCAGGTATGGGGAAGATGTTGGCGGATGGACTACACGCCCGGTTTCTATTGCGGGAGGAGTTGGGGCTTGGAAATCCATTCGGAAAGGATGGGATGCCTTTTCCTCTCACATCAGATTCAAAGTTCGTGATGGTAGTTGCGTTCGTTTTTGGGATGATCTTTGGCGTGGGAACCAGTCTTTATGTCGTACATTTCCCAGATTATATAGTATTGCAGTTGATAAACATGCCATAGTAGCTAACTGTTATCAGCTTGATAATAGTGGGATTACATGGAATGTTCATTTTCGGCGTTCATTTCAGGATTGGGAGTTGGAAGAGGTGTGCATTTTCTTGGATCAATTGTATCGGCAAGAAGGAATTGGCAGGGGTTATGGCAATTTGATTTGGATTCCCTCCTCTCACGAGCGTTTTGCAATAAGGTCTTTGTTTTTATGTCTGTCTAATTTTGCATCCTATGATTTTCCATGGATGACTATTTGGTGTTCTATGGTTCCTACTAGGGTGGCATTCTTTGTATGGACTACTGTTTGGGGTAAGATTCTGATGATCGATAATATGAGGAAAAGGGGAAATTTTCTTGTTAATTGGTGTTGTTTATGTAAGCAGGATGGGGAGTCAGTCGATCATCTCCTAATGCATTGCTCTGTAGTGCACGATTGCTGGAATCTCATTCTTGGCCTATTTGGCATGTGTTGGGTAATGCCATGCTCTACTAAGGAGCTGATTCATGCTTGGAGAGGTTGTCGTGTGAGTAGGAGTGTTCGTGCTTATTGGAGATCTGTACCACATTGTATTTGGTGGTGCATCTGGAATGAGTGAAATAGTAGAATGTACCACATTGTATTTCTTTTTTGGATTCTTTGGGGCCTTAGACCCCGGTTTCTTCTATGTCTATGGGACGCGTTCCCCTATTGAACGCCTTTTTTAATTTATTATTACTTATCAAAAAAAAAAATTACTAAGTATGAGAAAACTGTCCTACATCAAGTACGTTAGGAAGTAAACAGGCTGGTTCTTGTTAGTCTTTCTCAATTTTATTGTTTTCATGGTGCCGTGAATTATTTGGCCATGAGGTTTTTTCATGCACGTTAAATACTAGTCATACTGAATGGTTTGCTGCCATCATTTATAATGAGGTTCATCCAACCCTGTTACCACTTTTTTGCTTTCCTCGTAACCACTATGTATGTTTATAATGCGTCTCCCTCATGCTATTGATGCTGGTGTTAGCATGAGTACCAGTTGCCGTCACATGCCATGATATTGCGACTGTTGCTTCTTGACTAAATGATCTTATTTTCCTTACCTAATTTTGGTTGTGAACTGTTTGTTTGAAGTTTCTCCAATCTATTTTCAACCTTGACTCGGATTATAAAGATGACATGGTAAATAGAAATGTTTGAAAGAGTGGAGTAACTTATAAGCTTGGATAGGTACTGCCCCTAAGGGACATGTACTTCTTCTAGCGTACATGATGTTTTGAAAATTTTTCTGCTACCCAGTCCTAAATTTCAAGCATCTCTAGATGGTGGTCAAGATATCTGAGAGGCCACTCATTAATGCTATTCCTTTCCCAACCAAAAATCCCATACTTGCCAGATTTAGCCAGGGAATGATTTTTTTTTGTTGGTTCAATCCCCTAGAATTTTTGAAGTAACAAGAAATCATTTTAAGATTATTGTTTTTGGGACCAAGGTACAATAAAGAGGATGGTGTCATTTGCAAATGAGGGTGAGAGATATCAATCCTATTTTTTCCTACAAAGAATTCTTTTATAAGATTAAGCTCTTGAGCCTAACAACAACTATGCTAAAAATGTTAGTTTTTAAGGTAAAAACAATGGGAGGACGAAAGGTAACATTAATCAATGCACCTGGATACATTAAAGCAAGCAATCTAAATTTGTTGCAATTGTTAGAATTACATCATTGACTGTGGAGATTAAACCGTGAAATGGAGCTGGGACCTTTCCTTTTGGAGCATGGACCTGGAACTTCTTGTCTACTTTGTCACAAGCCTTTTGAAAAATTAACTTAATCATTAGCCTTCTGAAATAGTAACTTGATCACCCTGTTACTGAGGGACCTCTTTTCAGAAATTATGCTGCCAGAGGGCTTTACCATGACTAACTGATAAAAATCCTAGAGTAGGAAGTTCCTTCTATAATTTATTTTTCGTTTTAATACAATTTTGGCGCTATAGCCATTGCAAACTGATTTCGTCTCTTTAACATAACCCTTTTGTTAGGTTTGTAAACAAGGAAATTAAACACTGGGATCAAACTTTGATGAGGCCTCAAGTAGTTGGGATACTTGCTTAAATAGAAGCTAAAATTCAAAGGTTGACAAAGACATAGCTCGTTCCTGTCCATCAAAATGATTTTAACTTGAAGTGTAAAAGATTTAAGAATCTGCAATCGAGTTTTCCTCTTAAAGCCCTTAGCTACTTTCTCCAAGGATTGAAGAGTTATGAGCTCCATCCACTAATTTCATTAGATACTTTATTGGGGCCAAAAGTGGAAAGTCAGTGTTAGATTGATGATCAATGAATTCTGATTTCAATGAAGTTTAAGTTAATCTGTCTTTAGGAGTTGAGCTTTTGCAATGACAATCAACTAACTACACCTCCCGCTAGTAATGTGTTGAGTTTTTAAACTCCTGGTACTTTCTTTTATGTTATTTTATCATCAATTTGAAGCACACGGAGAATGACAGTTATGGAATAATCTTTATGGTCCGTTTAGTCAGAAGGAAGAGTGTGAGGAAGGAAAGGAAGGGTGGAAAAAGGGTAAGGTTGCATAGGCTTTTTGTAGCACTATTGTAAAGCATAAAACAGAAGTGAAGAGAGAAATGAAATACGAAGAACACAAGGATATTTCGTGGTTCAGCCACTAGTGCCTACATCCATGGCACAAAGAGCCCAAAGGGCTACATCACTTTATAATATATTCTCTCTTGATCTTTGAATACAATGATCACCTCTATTTATAGGTGAAAGAATAGAGGTGATAAATATGGAAAATACATTAATGGAAGATTCCTAAAATCAATACCATAAATCACTCCAGTCAATATTCTATCATAGGCTGAAATCTCTCCTATGATATTCTCATATCAAATATTTTGTCAATGAGTAATTTAAGGATTCCTATAATAATATATTCCAAATATAACATCTTCTAACACTCCCCCTCAAGCTGAAGGGTCAGCTTGCATATCAAATCATGAAACAGATCATTTTCCAATGATTTGGAAAAAGACAATAAAACTGCTAGAGACACGGTGAATGCGAAGAACAATGCTACCGAACACACTGGCAGCCCAAATAAGTCCACATAGCACCAAACACATGGTGAGGTGATGAACAATGCTACCGAACACACTGGCAGCCCAAACAAGTCAATAAAAATTGCCGGAGACACGACAAAGGCGAAAACATTACTGCTGAACAAACCGGCAGCCCAAACAAGGCATAAATAGCACTGAGAAACCCTTAGCAACATTTCAGATGCTAAGGGAATACCCCAAAATAGGGGTCCGAACCTAGGAAGAAAATTAGGCTTTGATACCATGTTGTAAAGCATAAAACAGAAGTGAAGAGAGAAATGAAACACGAAGAACACAAGGATATTATGTGGTTCAGCCACTAGGGCCTACATCCATTGCACAAAGAGCCCAAAGGGCTACATCACTTTATAATATATTTTCTCTTGATCTTTGTATACAATGATCACCTCTATTTATAGGTGAAAGAATAGAGGTGATAAATATGGAAAAAACATTAATGGAAGATTCCTAAAATCAATACCATAAATCACTCCAATCAATATTCTATCATAGGCTAAAATCTCTCCTATGATATTCTCATATCAAATATTTTGTCAATGAAGAGATTTTTCCTAGGGAACACCATATTATTTCCTCTTAAAAGGGGTTTCCACTCCTCTTTGACATATTTGTCCTTCTAAATAACCTTTATCATAATTTGGAAGGAGATAATGCTAAAATCATATAATCTTTTACTTCTTTTCTCTACCTTCTTTTCTTTAGGGTACCTTCCTACTACCTTCTTTTCTTTAGGGTGCCTTCCTACCCGCCTTTCAATTTTCCATTCCTCGTACCAAGTGAAACACTAATTACCAATTAAGTTGGACGTTAAGCAACCAAAATCTAATATATGAAATTACTCAAATATGCCTAATATGAAAGAATTTGGTTTTCATATAAAAGGAGTTGGAACCATGTTGCTTTAGCCGAAACCTAGAATAGTAGTCTTTTGTCATCTCTCAGCGTGGTGGAAGTGGGACCTTATGTTACCTGGACTCGGGTACCTGTGTCGGGTACGGGTATGTATTTATGTGTCGGATGTGTCAAATCCCCAAACAGAAGAACACATAGACATTGCTAAATATATATATTATTTAATATTTTTATTTAATTTCTTAGAGTAAAATAATGTCTTTATGTAACATAGTGTCTAGTATAAGCATTTCATCATTTTGAAGCAATAATATAATAAAATTGAATTATTTGATATGTTTTTTAGGTGTATGTCTATCCATAAGTGTCAAACACACATCCCATATGCATGTCCGAGTATTGTGTGTCCAACATGGGTACTTCACCTACTTTTGAAGAGTCCATTTAATATAGGTGGGACCATTGGTTTACTTGTAGGACTCCATGAGTTTGTCCCGTTTACCTCCTTTGACTGCTCTCTCTCTCTCTCGTCTTCTTCTATGGCTTATATATTAAATCATTTTGAAAATAAATTAACTAAATGCTTTACATTTTAAACTATGTAATTCTAGTTAAAAGGAAAATGTCAAATTTATTCTAAAATCTTGGCTACAAACAAACCTGAGATTTATAAAATTTAATCTAAATGTTTGTCTACTAGTTGAAGACTATCGTGTGAGACTCTTATGACATTCTGGAGCTATTTGACTTGCCAAAAGCTAGCAGGGAGGAAGAGAAGGAAGTAATAGCATTTACTCGTATATATCTTGTGGATGCAAGGTCAATGTGTTTTGATAATAATTAGTTCATGATATTTTACTTTCATGTTTGGCAATTTTGTTTTACTGTTCAAGGAAAGAAGCCATAAAATAATTGCTGTGAGATGAAATCGCTTTGCCTTTGGTCATCAAATTTTTTTATTCTGCTATAAATAATACTCCCTTTCCTATGGTGTTTTTGAATTGAATTTTATGCTTCTAGCTTGGAATATGTTAATTATAACACATATTCTCATCTCTGTTCAGCAACAATGATTCAACAGGAAATACAATTGGATTTGCTTCACAATTGTCTCTTTTGGTTAATGCATTGGATATGTCCTTTGAGGCTCAATTTATGGAAGATTTTGTGTCAGGTTTGGGTACTTTTTTATAATCATCTTGTCATTCTTTTTGCTATATATATAAAAAAACATAGCAGCTTCTGGTTGCATCAGTTGATGACAAGTAGACCTGAAGGCTGTTCCTGTCCCTGTTGGGGAGATGTCAACCATCCCTCTCTTTTTATGAACATAAAAGCTTCTTGTTGGATCAGTTGGAGATGTGATCTCAAACTTCCCTTGTTTTTCACACTTTCTTTTTTGTGGTTTGTAGCAGTTGAAAATTCAGCACCTGACAATTTGAAGTCTTCAGCGGTCATACCTCCGCCCACTGTTCTTGATCGTGTGCTCAAAGATCTCTTTCATGAGGGTATAAATTCTCCTTTTTCTTGCTCATCTTTTATTTGCTGCTATTTGATGTGTCTAATAAATGGTAATTATCACTTCTCAAAGACCTGCAAGCTTCACTTCTATGTATGGCTGCAAACAAACTGCGCCAAACTTTTGGGTGTTTGATCTTGGCAGGCCAAGGTCGAGCTCAGCTCGATTCCATTAGTCCGAGCTCATTCCGGTTCGAGCTTGTTTACACATTGATAGCAAACCATTTACAATCTGTACATGTGCTTATATGTGCACGTACGTAGTCTGATTGTGTATTTGTATATGTTTAGAATGTCGGACTCTCATCACTGAATGCATGTGAATTCTACTCTCTCTTGTTGTCTTTATTGCTGATGTCCTCATGCAACCTGCAGGGGTGCAACTCTTTGATTTCAATTCAGGCGAGCATAGGAATTCTCGAGCTATCAAAGGCGCACCTTTTGAATCACTTTTTGCACAGTTTTGCTTACACTCTCTTTGGTTTGGTAACTGCAATATACGTGGTATGTTTGTAAATTAAGAATGAATTATTTGGGTGATAACACTCTGATAAAGAAATTTAAATTTGATCTGAGATTTACTTAATATAGTTGTATTTTCCTGACTCTGTTTATGCTACATATATGTGTGTGATTAGCTATAGCCGTCCTCTGGATAGAGTTTGTTCGAGAAGTTCGTTGGTGTTGGGAAGAGTCACAGCCATTACCCCGAATGCCGACTCATGGCGTAATTGACCTTTCAACTTGTTTGGTTAACCAGAAACTACACATGGTAATAATATGTACATTTCTTTTAAGGACTCAACTAGATGGTTCCCTTGTGCAATTCGTATATTACGCTATGAAAATTGAAGGTTTAAAAAATGAGATGCTTTCAATTTTGTTTTTGAAGAACATAGGCCTTGAAATCATTGTTTCTGGACTGATGAGTGCTTGCTGGACTTGGCCATTTTCAGTTTATACAAATAATTATGGCATTCATTATGTCAATAAGAGAGATAATTACTGTTATTTAAACCCCATGGGTGTCAGGATGGGATGGCTGAACTTGGCCATCCTCAGTTTACTGTATGCTGTGAAACCCTATAATTTTTTTAGATTCAAGCATTTCATTGTTTGTTTATGTGATGCAATTGGATAGCTGTTTATGCACATCTCTTGCTAACTTTGATCCTCATGGATTCTAATCATAGTGTCTTGTTACTCTAAAAATGTTTTTCGGCTTTTGTTTGGTTTTTGTTGGGAACTTTTTCCTAGGAACTTCTATAATTTACATAGGATTAATATATGCTGAAACAATTATAGAAGGGTTTTTGGTGTCACTATTGTTTTTAGCAGGTTGGCTGTAACTACCTTGATTCAATTTATTCAGTTTTTGAAACTGCCATAATAACATGCTGCGAGGGTCTCAAGATCTTTGAAGTTCCCTCTTGGATTGTTTTACTTTTTTCAACATATGACAGTGAGGCCAAAATATTTTCACTTTGCCACTTTCTGTCAGCTTGCAATATGCATTGAAAAGAAGCGTCAACTGAATCCAGAATATCAAGTTGGTGCTAGGAACAAAGATCATGATTCTGCTGATGTTCAGGTTGTATGTTTTATATTAAGCTGCTTGTTCAAATGCAAATAATCAAATTGTTTTTCTTGTGCTATCTGGCATGAAGTGCTCATCTGAGTGAAATGCAGGAAGATGGTCAGGTTGGGGGGAACTTATCTCATACTCGGGTACTCAGTGAAGGTTCTGTTGGGGAACGTGACAGGTGAACTAAGCATGTGAGAACTCCTTTGTTTTTGTTATTGAATACTGGCTAACCTTAATGTGGCTCTGGAGCTCTTTTGAACTAGGCTGTTTCTACATTATTGTTTACCTCTTTTGAGTATGTTATTAGAATTATTCAGTTGTTGGAAGTTAATTTAGTCTGTGATCTCATCGATAATGATTCTTTTACTTCAGGCAGAGTAAACATTAAACTTAGTGGATCTTAGAATATTCGATATTCATCTTTTTTATTGCCATAAACTAAAATTCTCAATTTATAAAAATACTATGCGACTCTTTATATGTTTATTATATTTTGGAGGAGAAATTCAATTTTTTAATACACTGGTAAGAGAGAAGAAAGAGACAGAAGAGAAACTTTAAAAAGTTTCCTCTTTTCAATTGTCTGCTTCACTCAATGAAGAGAGAAAACAAAGGAAAAGCAGTGATTAGGAGTAGGAGAGAAAATGTCTCTCCAGACCCACTAGAAATATCACCTAAAAAGGGTGGGGTGATTATAGAGGAAGTGCAACATTTACGCATGAAGTACAAATACATAAAAGGGGCATGAGTGAGCCCCCATCTTTCTTCTCTACTTCTCTCGACTTCTTCTATGTAACCAAACAAATAACATTTATAACTTTTCTCTTCTCTTCCTATTTCTTCCTTTATCCTCCATATTTCCTTATTTTTTCAATGAACCACCCAAATGGCATGCAAGTGTTGTGTAGATTTATTTATTTATTTATTTTTTAAGTATCAACAAGTGCCTTGAAACTCATGATCATGCACAGTCATTTGGAAATGAGAATTGAGAGAACCATAGTTAGCAGCGTAATCTGCCATACATTTGATCCCCAAGAGTGAAGTTGCATCAAATAAATGGTAGTGTTCACCTTTCAACTGAGAAAAGCACATCGAGAGCAAGTGCACAAACTGATTAATCACAATTTTTTCATATGCTCCAAAGTCCTTCCTATAGTAATTGAAATGCCCTTTTACAAGATTAAAATATGACCTTTTTCTATGTTCTGGCTAATAGTCATCATCATCAACTACCATCATGGCATCACGTTTAGCTCCTGAAAGTTAGGATTGGAAGTTTGGAACCCAAGGCTCTAATAACGAGTTGCGTAAGGCCCATTTCTATGTAGCCCTACTTTTTTGAATTGAAAACAAATTACCAGAATTTTAAAATCAGTTCCTAGTAGAGAATAAAAATCAATCCATGGCAATAATAAATAAACAAAATAGTAAAGCAATAGACACAGATTTTTATGTAAAAACCCCAAGGGAAAATCATGAGACCTAGTCTAGTCAAACCAAATACATTATGAGAAAGGAAGTTTACAACCTAGGTTAGTAATTTCCGAAACTCTAGAAACCCCCAGTTTAATTCTCTGACACGGATGACGCCAAACTTTCTCCCGAAAATCTCTAGATTGTTCTTCAGCTCGTCAGCAAAATCCACACATCCGCTCCTCATGAATCTGCTTCTCCACCAGTGCATTGGTTTCAGCCATTAGTTGTCCAAGTTCAATCTCAAGATGGATTGAAGTTTTTGCTGAAGAATTCACGCTCACCAATACTATGAATGATGAATGCAAAAAGCAAAATGCTGAAGCACTCTAGGACTCACAATAATGCTCTCTCTATGAATATATGAGTTGTTTAGAATTATGCCCTAGCATGGTATATATATAGGAAAAATAGAAGCATAGAGAGTAGGGTTTTTAGAGTTTAAATTCAATTTGGAAACTGCTTTTCCGCAAGACTCGATCAATCGAAAAACTAGTCGATCAATTGATGATACTCCGCTGGTTCTCTATCAAACTAGAAAATTTTCAATTCAGGAAGTTCCCAAAAACTTTTTAATGCATGTGTTTGAAAGACATAATGCATGAACCCTAATTTGGTGAGCACAACAATGTGTTAAATAACCTTTTTACTCTTGTAGGCAAAGATTACTAAATTACCCTTGAATATCGCTTGGAATTCCTTCTTTGACCTTGAATTGGAGGTAATAACTAACACCAACTAACTATTGAATAATTCTAATCTAAACTAGAAATTAAAGAAAAAGTTACAGCCTCTAGTTTAGTTCTGCGAAATTTGCAAATATAAGTTCTATTGACCTAACAACTACTTATATTTGTAACGAGTGTCCATGTCTAATGGTGAATACTGCATGGATTTATAGTGAGTAGATGCATTATTCAAGCATTAAGATAGTGATCAATTAAAGAATAAAGAGTTTCACATTGTGGATATTGACTTTGGAGGAATGGCTACAGCCTACAATGTTATAACTTTTAAGATCGTCAGTCTTGATTGTTGCTGATGGAGAAAAGTAACATTTGTGGTGCATGATGTATAGAGAACTCCTCTTGAGTAGAAGAGTTCATATTTCAAGGAGTGTGCCAGTGGGATAATTATAGATACCAAGAGAAGGATGATGGATGTCACATGTTTCTTTTATAAAAGTTCATTAATGGATTAACGAGCAACTTTAATCTTGGCTGGCATACTCATCACATTCTCAGGCTTCTCACGGTGATATCTCTAGGAGCAGACACATTCACCTCTCGAGGGAGAACTTAAAACCGGTAACTCCTATTAAGTGCTTGAAAACTCAAAACTATCATTAATTTTATTATTAAGCGTGTTTTGATAATGCATTGATAGTGCACGACTAATTATAACTTAAATGATTTCACGTAAAAACCATTTGAGTTTCCAGTTACAGACTGACATTTTGCTTATTAGTAAACAAGCTCATTGGAAGGTAGCTTCTTAGTGAATTTAAATGGAAAAATTAAGTATTATTTCTTCAACTTAAATTTTCTTAGTTCTACCACTTCATTCCTTTGGGTCTATTGCAGTGATACTATAGGCTTTGTATCATGCATCGTACAAGTTGATTTACCTGGATAAGCGGTCTCATATGGTGACAATGCGGTAACATTGCTACATTGTCATTCTGTGGGTTTTCCTGCTTTGTTCACATGCAGGCAAGGCTCATGCTCTGGCTAAGATGTTTCTTTATGTTTCTCCCTTGGCAGGTGTTTTTATGAGATTTTGGATTTAGGTTGACATTAAGGCAATAAAGTTCAGAAATGAAGTACTTTATGAGCAATCTTCATTTATAAAATGATACCACTGCTAGCCAGTATTGCTGCTATATCATTTTCATTGTTTAGAACATATGATAGAATAATGTAATATGTACACCTTTTCTTTTTCCAATTTCCTATATGTACACCTTTTCTTTCCCCCACTAGGAAATTGTATATATACACCTGCTTATAGTTTGAATTTAAACTCATTAATTTGATTTCCATAACATTCTGTTCTGCTGCAGTCCCTCGCTGTCAGATCATTTGCGCGATTCTGAAACTACTACATCTAGATTTAATTCTGCTGCAGATAGAATAATGTAATATGTACACCTTTTCTTTTTCTAATTTCCTATATGTACACCTTTTCTTTCTCCCCTAGGAAATTGTATATATACACCTGCTTATAGTTCTTGAACTTAAACTCATTAATTTGATTTCCTTTTCCCTCTGTTGTGCTGCAGTCCCTCGCTGTCAGATCATTTGCTCGATTCTGAAACTACTACATCTAGATTTAATTCTGAGCCTCAGGATGCGACATCTGGTGATTTAAGGCCTGCAGATTGTATCAGAAAGGGATCAGCTGGTGCTGTTGGCATAATGCTTTTAAACGCGTGCCATAGCATGCATGCTCCACTCACCCAGGTTGTTTTTAATTACAAAGGAATGGATTACTTTCCTATTACTTTCCTTATCCCCATTGTGTTCAGTAACAAAATCTTTAGCTTTCTTTTCTTCCTGAATTTATTATAGGAGGCACCACTTATGACGGAAGACATGCATGAAGAACGGCTACATGCTGTTGAAGTCTTTGGTGATTCATTTGTAAGCTTACGCTTGATTATAAAAGCTTTTTATCTCATTGACAAAGAATTTTATGATTTATTGCAGTGTCACTCTCTCTAACAATTATTCACACACCATATAGTGAATGCTGAGCCTGTCTCTCTTCACTGGAAATTCATAGAGACCTGACCTTTTTTCTCACAATTTAGAGCATGGTTTCTTTGAAGTATGGTTGCTCCTGTGAAGTTTCTGTAATGAATGTTCTCTGTGGCACTTGATATAAATCTTATACATGATTCATATCTTCACTAACATTGGAACTAGTGCGCTAGACCATTAACCAAGGCTCTGATGTGTCAGAGAGTGAGCGGTGACTTTGATCTAGAGAGGGGTGAATAGGTCTGCATATTATTTTGCTTTTAACTAACTATTCAAATTTCCACCGATTTTTAGTTGGTTGTTAGAATTGATATTCACATTCTAGTTTGTAAATATGATCTTCATGCAATTTCCAAATAGAATGATATATTTTATTTATTGATATGTAAGTAATGAGATAATCATAACCGTCATAGGGAACTTGTTAATACTGTCACTACTGTCTTCTTCTTCCCTCCTTTATTTATTTATTTATTTTCCCTGTTTTCCATCTCAGTAGGTTGTATTAACACTACAGTAACTAATTATCACTTAACATCTTTTTCAATAAATGAGATATGATGAAGGTTGCATCTTTAGCTATTTTGACCTAGAAATACCAATTTACTTGCACTAATTTTGATGGAAAATTTGATTTATACTTCCTATTATAAATTGATAAATTTTTCAGAAGCCGTGTAAAGAATGAAAGATTCTTAGAAAGTGGTCCTTTATTTTGTATTCGGAAAGTTGGATTTTTGTTATTAGTTATTGTTTGCAAGAAAATTATTTTGAGGCAACTACTCGTTTAGCCAACAATACAACTCTCCTTTGACTAACCCTTTTCTTTTTTTTCCCTTTTATAGGGATATAATATAATCTAGTATGATGTTTCTTTCTGTTTTTATTCAAGTGTTGTATGATAAAGAAGTCCATATTTTTTTAATTGCTATATTTTATATTAATCGTGAAAACACTGTATCATTTTATTGCAGAACTTCTCTGCTCAATTGGAGAGAGATATATTATCTTCAGGTAATAAATTATCAGGTTTATATTAGACTTGGCAGATAATTTTGCATCTCATCTTAAGTTGACATTTGTACCCCTCCACACACGCGTGCGCAAACAAAACCCCCAAACAAAATGTTGCATAAAAGGAATATATCTTTCGCATCTATCGAGGGTTGGGGGTGGGGAGTTATTCACTGAGATAAGAGTTGGGCCATCTGATCTTGCCATGGAATGGTTAATCAAATGGATAGGCATAACGTATTCATGTAGTTCAGCCCAGAATAATTTAAATAAGGTTTTCTGCAAAGGATTATTTATTAATTGAATTGGAAGTTAATACCATTAGTTGAATGTTTCAACAGCTTCTTATAGACCATTTTTCATAACTAAGTACAGTTCTGAGAATTTTGATGATTTTATACTAATGCATGCACCGCATCAGAAATAGCTTCTGTTAAATGGCCATGAAAGAGATTTCCAACATAGGGTCTTCACAAAGGACATTTTTCAAAGTTGAAAAGGGGATTCTAGATCCTGCTCATCTGAGGCACTGTTTGGGTTTGCTACAGAAAGACCAAAAAGGTGGATATTCGAAATTTATTCCTTCCAAATGCAAGCAGGAACTATTTAGCTCCACATTAGACTGGATTCTTTTAGATAATTCTTATGGACTCAAATGCTAAATATGTGTCTTTTCAGTTTTTCCCAACTAATATAACATCAGATTCTATTTTTCCCTGAAGCTAGGCCAAAAATTTTCATACTTGTTTGTTTAAACATGATGAGTTGTTTGGTTTTGTTTAACTCTGTTTTTTGTTTCACAGCTATAGTTTTATGGAGCATGTGTGATGGATCTGTCTTTCCAAAGTATTGCTTACAGTTTTAGAGAATGATTATATCCTTTTGTTTTGCAATAAAATTAATTTTGTATTATTGCCTTTGAATTCTGAATTAGATATGTCAGCGTTTAAAGCGGCAAATCCAGATGCTGTTTTTGAAGATTTTATCCGATGGCATTCACCTAGAGATTGGGAGAATGATGACATTGAGAAAGGTGGAGTATCCAAAAATGATGCAATGGAAGATTTAAAAAATGATTGGCTGCCTCGAGGACGACTTTCGGAAAGAATGTCCGAGCATGGGAATTCATGGCGAAAAATTTGGAATGACGTGCCTGCTTTGCCAGTTTCTGAGCAGAAGCCACTTCTGGATCCAAATCGAGAAGGAGAAAAGGTAAGTTTCTTTGGAAATGTTTACTATTTTGACATCATTTTTTATTTTTAAACTGACATATCTTTCATCCTTTCTCATTTTCCTGGTCTAGAAGATTTAGTCAAGGTGGATGATAAAATAAAAATAGTATAGCATGTATGGTCTAAAATCTATACTTGGCCCCCCCAAGAAAAAAAAAACTTCTTTCTTTAATTAGCATTTAACAAAAGATAGTTTATATATAATCTAAATTAGTTAGATACTCTTTATGTGTTCGCCATTAACATTTTATGATTTTTTAAAATAATCTAAATTATTTTTTTATTATCACGTTTTTTTGTTTTTTTTTAATGCTTTTCATCCACACTTTTGACCTTTTTGTTTTGTCTAGCTTGTTCCCCACTTGAATTTGTTTGCCCTTTTTCTACTGGGGGAAAAAGAGTGTAGGGAGACAAGTTTCACGCACAAAGAAAGATTATACTCTTACAATCCCTTATTTCACTGTAACTTCTAAAAAAAAAAAAATCCCTTATTTCATTGCACACATGTATTGATTTGACCTAAGGAATCACTTCTTTCTCATCGATGTAAATGATTTTTATGCACACTGCAATCCAAGTTAATCTCAAAGTTTTTTTGTTCCTCTCTCTATATAAATTTTGTATGTATATATGTATTTTTGTGTGGGGGTGTGGCTGTTTTTTATTTTTATTTTTATTTTTTTAGCTTTCTTAATTTTGGATTGGATTAGGCTATTTAGTTATGATTTTCTTAATCTCTACAAAAGTTTAATTTCTCAAAATTTTACTTGGTATATTGTTGTATTGATTTGTAGTTTTTAAGAATACATAGCATTCTTTCTAGATCCAATATCTGCATTTTTCAATATTAATACTGTAGGATAGTTTTGTTTTGAATCTCAAATGAGTTTCTAAAAAAGTAACAATGTTTATTTATCACTTTTTTTTTTTACCTTGCCAATATTCTATGATTTAAGTTGGTCAAAATTGATTTATTGTTGTTTGTTTTTTATTGATATACTGTGTAATGATTATTAATTTGTGCAAGTATTACATGATTTTTTTTTTTCTTTTTTTATAAATTAAAGTGTAATTGTTTAATTGAAAGTTTTTATAATTTTGGCATAAATCTTCTTTGCGTTTTTTAAGAAAGCTTTTTTTTTTTTTTTTTGATAAGTAAAATTGTATTAGAAAGCGTTCAAAAGGGGAACGCATCCCAAGAGCTGTACAAGAACCAAGAGCAAAAAAAGAAAGCCGAAGGATCCAAAGACCCCAAAAAGTCCAAAAACTCCTCAACAAAAGAACAATCTCTCCCCATGCCCCAACTAAAAAGAGAACAAATAATAGAATACTTAAGAGCCCCAATGGGTAACTCCTCCCCAACAAAGGATCTTCTATTGCGTTCTTTTCATAGTCACCACCAAATGCAGAGGGGAGACGCCTTCTAGAAGTTGCGAACTCGAGCCCCCACCCTCTGTCTCCTCCAAATATCGATAAGATCCCGTGAGGTTTGAGGCACAACCCACTGAACGCCAAAAAGACCCAACATAAGGCTCCAACAGTCATCGGTCACTGGGCAGTGCAAGAGAAGATGGTCCACAGACTCTCCATCGGTCATACACAGACAACACCGATTAACAATGACACATCTCCTCTTCCTCAAATTGTCCAGAGTCAGGATCTTGCCCCAAGCAGCAGTCCAAGCAAAAAAAGCCACCCTAAGAGGAGCCTTCGAATGCCAAACCGTTTTCCATGGATAAGAGGGGGCTTGAAAACTGGAAAGACAAAAGAAGAAAAACCGGACCTGAAAAGTCCCCTGCGAAGAAGGCACCCAAGTCAAAAGGTCCGCCTCAGTGCCCTCCACTTCCTGTCGATACAAAAGGTCCAAAAAAGCAGTGATATCATCCAGCTCTCAATCCTGGAAAGCTCGCCGGAATCGAACATCCCAAGATAACCTACCGCTTTCAAGGCGATAGTAGTCAGGAACCAAAGCATGACAATTCACAGCAATCCTGAACAACCTTGGAAATCATTGACACAAAGGATGTTGCTCGCACCAAGGATCCTCCCAAAACCGGACACTCTAACCTTCCTGGACTCTGAATCTAATATGCTTAGAAAACTCATCCCAACCCTTTCCAATAGACTGCCACACACCCACGCCAATAGCATATCTAGCCTGTTTAGCAGACCAACCCCCTATATCCTCCCCAAATCGGCAAGCAATGATCTTCCTCCAAAGTCTGTCTTTCACTGCCAAACCTCCAAAGCCATTTGCCAAGAAGGGCCGTGTTGAATAGGACCAACCTTCGAATCCCAAGGCCTCCTGACTTAAGAGGTTTGCAAACTTGCTCCTCACCGAACAAGATGATACTTAAACTCCTCCTTCCTACCACCCCAACGGAAGTTACATTGAATCATCTCAAGTCTCCTCACAACAGAAGAGGGAATCTGGAACGGGAAAGGAAATATGTTGGGAGGCTGGACAGGATACTCTTCACCAGCGCAACTTTTCCTCCCTTCGAAAGATATTGTTTTTTTCCATCCAGCCAACCTTCTCTCGAAGCGCTCAATAATTGGTCCCAGCAACCCACCCTTCTTAAGGAGACCCCAAGGGCAAACCCAGATAAGAAATAGGGAAGGAACCCGTCCTACATCCAAGAACAGCTGCCAGGGAATTCACCTCCTGAACCTCCCCCACAGGGACAAGCACACTCTTGCCCACGTTGATTCTCAAACCAGAAACAACCTGAAAACAAACCAGGACACATCTCAAGTATCTCAATTGGGACACCTCTGCCTCACAAAAACCAATGTATTATCCGCGAACAGCAAGTGAGAAATCTCCAATTGATGAATTGCCTCAGGACCAATCTTGAAGCCTCGAAAAAGCCCCAAGGTAACAGCCCTCCTCATCAGCCTGCTAAGAACCTCCATAACAATAATGAACAAGAAAGGGGAGAGGGGGTCTCCTTGCCTCAAACCACGAGAACTACCAAAAAACCCCGAAGGGGATCCATTAACCAGCACCGAGAATCTGACAGACGAAACGCAAGTAACAATCCATTTCCTCCATCGCTCACCGAAACCCATCCTCGGGGATCCATTAACCAGCACCGAGAATCTGACAGAGGAAACGCAAGTAACAATTCATTTCCTCCATCTCTCATCGAAACCCATCCTCTCAAGCAAATAGAACAAGAAATTTCAGCAAACATGATCATAGGCTTTCTCGATGTCTAGCTTACACAAAACTCCTGGAACGCCGCTACGAAGCCTAAAATCCACACATTCACTGGCAATAAGAGAGGAATCCAGAATCTGTCTGCCCCCAATAAATGCATTTTGAGACTCTGAAATGACTCCGTCCAAAACCCCCCTCAATCTTGAGGCCAAGACTTTGGCGATGAACTTATACAAACACCCAATCAAACTGATAGGTCGAAAGTCCTTAATAACAGAAGCTCCCCCCTTCTTAGGAATCAAAGCAATAAAAGAAGTATTCAGCGACTTTTCGAACTTTCGAGTGGAATGAAACTCATGAAAAGTGCCCATAATCTCCTGTTTGACCACCTCCCAGCTTTCCAGGAGGAAACTCATAGTCAAACCATCCGGGCCTGGAGCTTTAAATAACTAGTGTTTTTTTTTTTTTTATAAATAAATTGGCAAAAGTTTAGATAGATATATTTTTGTATGAATATAATGAATAGTAAAATATTTTTGGCTACGTAATATATATATATATATATATATTTAAAAGTTCTAGCTAGGTAATGTTGCTTATAATTTTTGCCCCCCCAACCTTAAGATCCTGGCTCCGCCCCTGACAACAATCTCAAGTAGTACAACCAATGTACAAAAATGTTTGTACCTGAGAGAACAAGATCCAAATTACACATTTCAAAAATGCGGTCCACTTGATGTGCCATAGCTATAAATTTATTAATTCTCACACACATATATTATATCTTTAACTCGTGTTTCTCTTTTTGTACAAGATTATTGTTGCAAAAGTGGGATCGTTTCTCTATTAAACAAGAAATAGGAAAGTGGTATCACACGAGCTAGATCTTGCAAGATAGAATAGGCTTCCAAAGTTTACAGAGTCAGAATGCATTGAAATCTTTCTAATTGATTTTTGTTTAAGCAGCTGGTTGGTGAAAACATAATATTATTGGTGTGCATAAATTTTCTACATTTCTTTTATGAGTTTGTTATATGGTCTTGATCATGCAAAAGACATCGAACTTTCTGTATCCTGTGTTAGTTGGCCTATTTGCTATGGAGAAAATTTTACATGGTTTGGGACTACATGTTCCCGGCCAATCACATCTCGACAAGCAAGCAAATGTGTTGGCTTTATTCAATTTTTTGTTTGCGTGCCAGGTTGTGATTGTCCCAGACCATGTAATAAAATCTCATTTGTATGCGAGTTGAACAAACATTTCCAGAACTTCTCTTAGAAATTTTTAGCTACTATATTAAAAAAATAATAATAATATACTAAAATTTCTCCTATCACTAAATTTGTTAATATACTTTGTTTGGATTATGCATAAACTAATCTACACCTACAGTGAATAACCTAAATCTTGAAAAGAAAATTAATAGTAATAAAATAAAATAAAATTTCAAATATAGGGGTTTACAAAATCAGACTTTCATTCAGCCCTGAACATGATTACAGAAAGTTCTTATCATTCTTCATGTGAGATACACGATTTACCTCTATTATTGTTAGCATGTTCTGCGTTAGTTTTGCAATGTAATTTCCAGTTCTGCGTTAGTTTTGCAATGTAATTACCCCCAACCAGAGTTGTGTATGCTTCTTGAATTTTCTATTACGATTGGAGTTCCAAGCTTTAGTATTTTTGCATAATGCAAAGAATATTTGGTTTTCTATATCGCTGTATTTTATTTTCTGGCATTTCCTTCTCTGAGGGTATTCCCTCTGTGCACCTGTACTTCATTTCTTCCTCTTTAATACAGCATCAGTTGTGAAAAAAAAAAAAAAAAATTTGGTTTTGCAGCTTCTCTGAAAATTTGAGTAGTATGTATGATTTTATTATAGGATATGGGGAAAAAAGAAAATTAAAATGACAACTTTCTTTCTGGTTTGACTAATTTCCCAGTTACATGGGGACATTAGCCCAATGGTATAACTTCCAAGGGAGGAGAGGGGTTAGAGTCCTGTAGTGGGCAATTTGTGAAATGTGTGTTTGAGTACTTACCTAACAAAATAAAATAAAAAATCCCCTTTAGAGGAATAAGATTTGCAATCTAGACCCGTATGGGAGATTGTCTTACAAATAGTTTGATTATTTGGCTTTAATTGGATGGTGCTTTTCAGAAGGAAATTAAGAAGTATATCCATTACAAGTGCTTATTTGATTGATGCTTTTTGTTTTTGGTGATTCGCATTCTTAGAATTTCCCCTTTATGCATTTAGAACCTTGACCCACCATGTTCTCCCGAATTCCATAGGTTCTTCATTATTTGGAAACATTGCGACCGCATCAACTGCTGGAACAAATGGTTTGTACTGCCTTTCGAGCATCAGCTGACACTTTAAACCGGACTACTTTTGGTGACTTAAAGCAGATGACAACGAAAATAGGGCAACTTTACCTTACTTTGGCCTCTACTTTGAAGCCTTTGCAGGGTATTGTCATTGTTGTATATTTTCATCTTATTTGCAATAGTACTTTCTTTGTAAGTGAAGGTCCGTGAAACTAAAGAGTTTGTTTTTTCATTGCAGCAAATCGTTTGTCTGTCAATAGTGAAATTACTGAAGATCTAAGACGGCTTTGTGTTGTTTTTAAACATGTTGAGAAGTTACTAATCCTTGCAGCTTCGCTTCATCGAAAGTTCTTGCAAGCACCACGCCTGTCTGAAGCAATTTTCAGCGACTACTACAACTTTTACCTCCCAAAATTAGGGATGGGGTCAGAGGGAGGTGAACTTCACCCGGTAACTTTCCAAATGCGATGAGATCTATTTAGTAGTGTTGCAGCCTCTTGTTTAGTTGGTGGAGAGAAACTGCTCCAATATTGAACCATTTGAGAGAAACAACCTAAGCATTTGTTTCATGATATTAGCATTGGGAATACTCCACATGGACCAAAAACTTTAATTCGGCTTCACGTTCAAGCAAAGGCATAAATTCTTTCGAAATTTAAAAGATTTGCAGTGATAGACTGTTATAACAATCTACTTGTCACTTCAGCCTTCGCCTTTAGGCCATCCTTCTTGTTGTAAACACCCTCAATAGTTAAAACTTGATTTGAGTTGTTTGACATTCATTAATTTTATTTTAATACTTGTATTTATTCTTTTGGCCTCAGGAGTTTGACAAGAAGCAACAAGTAAGGATACAAGAGAGAGATGTGGTTGCTAAAATGTTTACTCCACCCACAGCCAACCAATCATGGAGGAAAGTTTTAAGCATGGGCAATCTTCTGAATGGCCACGAACCAATCCTACGGGAGATCATATTTTCCATGAGCGATGAAGTCCGGGGCAGTTACTATGCTGCCTTTACTCCTAAAGGTTATCAAAAAGAAATAGAAACATATCGAATGTATATCTGTGGAACCTCGAATGATCTTGGAGTAGCACTTTCTGTTGCTTCTTGTGACTAACCTACGGTCGAATCATGTAAATATAGATTCTTTTTCATATTCCTTGTATGGGGATACACGCTTGGTATTGTCTAGATATTGCTTTGGATTCATTGTAACATACCATTCTATGCCTTGTGTCGTCTAGATTTTGCTCCAAGAATTTTTGGGACCTGGGTTCATTTGATTCGTTCGAGTTTGTATGCCTCGTGTCGTCGGAGCCATGCGATACGAGACAATCAACTCAAGCTGCGTGACACATTTCGATCATGACATGCACATCATCTCTGCAATTTTTTTTTAAAAATTTTTGGCTGCCTTGATTTGTTTTTTTTGGATGTGCAAGTAGAGGTAGATGTTCTTAACCATCCAACGAATGGGACAGCTGAGAGAGAGTCCGTGGCGGCTCATTAGCTTCAAGATGTGGATAGCTTTCCTTTAGATGAATGACCTTTGAAAACTTCGTAACTGTTTGATTAATCAAGCTTTGTCGCTATTTCCACGATTTGGTTTCACTTCCCTTTCGAGCTATTGACGTCATTTCAAAGAAAATACATCAATTTACGATTTGGTTCACTTCCCTTTCGAGGATAAGACATCAATTCGGTGCTCCTGAATACGGTAGCCTATACCTTCATCTATACAAGTGTCTAAACTATACTAATAAATATTTGTGTAGAAATACAACATTTATTTCTTTAATTGCTAAAAGAGAAAAAATAAAATATTTTGAAACGCATGATTTTATAAAAATATATTTCCAAATTAGTGAATTTTCTGAAGAATAGCATCTTTTCAATTGCTAATATGACTCTTTTTCCCCATACTTGACATAACAAACATAAATGTTTGATGTTACAGAGTATGTGGAAATGATAGATAGGTTATTGTGATGAGATGGTTGATCCGAGACCCGTCAAAGGATGGGTCAAAATCCAGTCGACAAGGCCCACAGATACGGCCTTGAAATTGTAATTGTAGTGCCACCCATCCATTTCTTGATTGAGATTAGACAACTTTACATGGTGGAGATGGAGACAAAAACCAAAAAAGTGAGGCCTGCAACAGTGATCGTCATGCACTAGTTAGGGTTTACTGTCGATTCCTATTAAGTCTAGCACACTTTATTTTATTTATTTATTATTATTATTAATTTTTTTTAGAATTCGGAAAAAAATTTGGAATTTCTAATGATGGGAGATGCCATCAGTTGGTTAATCACACTATCTTACAATGAATTTGACTGTTAAGTTCATTACTTGACCATTTAGGTAATTCCAATGTCATATTCGCTTTCTTTGACGTTTTCATATGAGATTAATATTATATATATATTTTTTGATAAGTGAGATTAATATTATATTTGAAAGTATTGAATGGATGATTTGAATATAAGATTAGAAAAAAAAAAAAAAATTCAATTCAAAATCCAAATGGCCGATTTAGTGGTAACAAACATGGCATAAGAGTTCAACTTTCAGATTTCCGGACAATAATGTGCACCTTTGTATGTTTTATTTGAACCCTACATTTAATACTCAAAATGACAAACACACACACTGACACATACAAAACAAAAGAAGATGAAAGAATAGGAATGACAAAATGAGCCGCTGTGCAAGTTTTTGGGCGGAGATGGAGGATGGAGTAAAAACTTGCGTGGATTTGGGGCCGGATAAACAAACCCTTTTATACTGCAAAAGAATTAATTTTATATCATGTAAAAAAAAAAAAACAATGATTAGAAGAAAAAGATATAAAACAAAAGATAAGTAAAATATGAAAGAAAAAGAAAAAAAATAAATTACAGTATGACATTATTAGTATGTATATTAAGAGATTTATTTATTATTATCATTTTTTTTAGTTTAAGAGATTTATTAGTATGTGGATGAGAACACTACACTATTATATGTCAAACATTATATATATATATATATATATATATATATATATATATATATATATAATTTTATTCGGATCGGATGTGATTATTATTAGATCGAATCAACATTATCCATATCCGATTTGTTAGGATAACAGATTATTAGATTCGGATCGTAATTATGTTATCGAATTTTTTTGTTCAATCCAAATTTAACTAATTGGATTGAATTTAAATCAGGATCCGCTCCATTGACAGGTCAAGTTGTGGAGCCTGGTTAGTAAATTTTGAATAGTAAGAACATTACAATGATTTTGATGTAAGTCATGATAATTTTGTGAAATCTCTATGTTATGATTTTTCTTTTTTATTTTTTTCTGTCATTGTACCCGGTTCCCAACACTTATCATTTAAAAAAAAAATTACATTGACCTTAAAGTTTGGCTAAATTATATACAAGAATATCATTTAGTGTTTATTATTGTAATTTCCTATAAACTCATTTGCCAAAAAAGTGAGTTTGAGTGTAAAAAGTCAATAATGTCTTTATATTATAATAATATATAATTATATTACAAAATTATCTTTTTATTTAGAAGGACAAAATTATCATTTTATAAAATTCTAAAAGCAGGTCTGTTAAAAAAAAATATCAGAGTCAAAGTAATAAATGTTGAACCATCAATTAATTCATAATTTTTTTTCACTTACTAAATAGTAGCTATGGTACAGACACTCCATGGTCATGCTTTTTGTTAGGAATTAATCCCTCTTGTTTATAAATTTTGCTAATAGATCCGTCAAAAGAAAATATTAGGAGTGTCATTAAGTACAACATCAAATATCAGAAGATGCTAAGAGTATAAAAGTTGAACGGTGTATCGGTACCTAATTTGTTCAAAATTCGAAGAAAATTGGTCTAATTTACCCCTTGTTTTCACTTACTAAATAGTATAGATTGTATGGGGGTGCGGTGGCTTGGTGCAGGTTGTGATGTGAAAATGACAAATTCTTGGGTATTTTGTCTTATCTTTTGTTGGTGTGGGGTTCATCCAATTAGTCAAAGGAAGCTTTCATGACTTTTGGGTCACTATCAGTGGGAAATAGACCCAACATCAGAATGGGAACACCGGACATGAATGGTGGTTGTGGGAAAATAAATGGAACAATGACAAGTCTGGTGGCTACATGTACATGTATGAGAGAGATACCCATTTTAACTTCAATGCTTTCTACACTATATCACACGCCACCAATGCCACATCAACCTATATTTCTATCTATTTTATACTTGTATTTTGTCTTCAATAGTAGGCTGTGAGCTTCACAGATACATACAAATTTATTTTGTTCATTTGGTGAAAATAACAAAAACCTATTATATACAATAATACAACCTCCCTTTATTTTCAAACTTCAGGGATCATAATCTGAGATTTTTTAGTCTCTTATTTAATTCAACAAAACCCCTTTTTTTTTTCTTTTAAATATTGGAATGGGATAATTTAAAAAATAGTAAGCATTGGGGATAATATTTAAAAGACGATAAATATGACAATATAATTAAGTATAAAGCAATTGATGTGAGTTTTCTTCGATGATAAACTACTCGTAATAGAACGAATACTTATAGGATAGGACTATATTAAGGGTGTCGAATCTCAAGAACTGTGGTGGAGTCAAGTATAAAATTAATCACTAATTTAATTCAAAGAAATATTATTTGGTTGTTTGATTATGTCTAAATAGCATTAAAACTGAAAATAAGCAAAATTGTCTAATAGTAAGATCAAGGGAAGAAAAACTTAAGGCTTGACTTAACCACTAGCCTCGTAACACGATCAATTGCTTCAGCTTTAGGGATTTCAATGTTTAAGTATGATTGGGGATTGAATGACTACAAATGCATTCCAATTCAATTTCAAGAGGATAAATCATGAATTAATGTTAAGCAATAATTTATCTTCGGTTTGCACGAATTATCTATCTAACTACTCTAAACTAATGTGTAGTATAATTCGTTTTTCCTAAGCATAAACAATCAAAACATTCATTCACAATTCAATTTAGTACATTGCATGATCACTACTCAAACCATTAAGAGAAGTCCTTAGCCGTCAATCTCTAACAATGAAAATAGTTTCGTTTTGATTTAGGTAAAATTAGTTCTAAGACGAGATCAATTTCATCAAAATCCAATTTAATTCATTAAAAACCCAATTGTTTAGAAATCCTAAGTCAATTGCTCACAATCATGCAATTAAAATACATAAACTATGAAAATCCCCAAAATTAAGAACAATTAAACCATTTTACCCGGACTAAGGTTACATCAATGCCCTAAGAGATGATTTAGCTACTCATGGAGATGAAGGATAACATCGTTGTTGGTGTAGAAACCATCTCTAATGATTGTAACTCTTCTTCTTCTATCTTCAAAGATCACTCCAAAACCCTAAAACCCGCCACGAGATGTCAAAATTACCAAGCCCCATTCTTTGTGACCTTTCATCTTCTTTTATAGTGGAGAACAAATCCTAGTCCCTATTGGATGGGTTTACAACTTATGGAGGCAATTGGGCCCGTTTGGAACCTAAAAGGCTGATTTTATAACTTTCCTACATATGTTTTTAAGTCACAGATGAATTAACGCTCGAGCCCTGTCATTAGCGCTCGAGTGTTGTGGATTGCGCTCGAGCCCTAAATCCCACACTTAGCCAAATTTCTCAGAAATTTTTTCGAAGGGTTTTTTTGTTCAACACTTAGCCATTTTTGCCACAGGGCTTGAGCCCAATTGCCACAGTGCTCGAGCCCTGTGACATAGTGCTCGAGCCTTATTCTTCATACTTCACCAGAATTTTCCCGGTTGACCTCCGAATCACCTTGGAACGTCCAAAATACCTCCAAAGACTTCAAGCACGTTGAGTCATGCTTCAAAACTGTGATTTGATTCACTTCTTCGGGAAATGACCTACAAAAGGCAAACAATAAAAAATAAGTATGAAACAAAAATAAAAGTAATGCTAAGGTACTAACTTATGCACGTTTAAGGGCTCAAATACGAGATATTCAGTGTTTATCACACCCCCAAAGTTACATATTGCTAGTCCCTTAGCAATACAAAACCAAAAAATAAAAATAAAAATAAAAATAAAAATAAAAGGTTTGTTTTCGTAGGAATCACGATTACATTTAGCACACGTAATAAGTCTTTGAACCCCTAGGTTACCCTTAGTGGACGAATTATAGTCTCGTGAGGGTTTCCAAATATGGTACCCACAAACATCCTAAAATTCGTGCATTGA